CCGAACATCATCCTGCTTGGGGACTTCAACCTACGGCACCTGAAATGGAAGCACCTGGCTAATACAGTAATATCAGAAAGAATACCAGGAAGTAGCCTAAATGAGCAGGCACATGCAAATGACCTGCTACGGATGTGCGATAGGTTTGCCTTAAACCAGCAAATAGTAGAACCAACTAGGAAGGAGAACACGCTGGACCTCATTTTCACTAATAATGATGAGTTGATCGGGAACATAATGATTACAAATACCTGTTACTCAGATCACAACTTAATTGAAGTTCTGACAACCATGGGGAATGGACCTTCAAAACCAGTCCAGATTCCCGGTGGAGGAGATTTCAGCAAATTCAACTTCAATAATAAACGGATAAACTGGGAGCAAATAAACCAGGACTTCACAGAAATAAACTGGGAAGAACAGCTAGGAAATGCAAACCTGAACCAGTGCCTGGAAAAAATAAGCTCAGTAGCACTAGAAATATGTTCAAACCGCATACCCCTAAGAAAAAAGAGAAAGAGATGCAGATTGGAACGGGAACGTCGTTCCCTATTAGGCGAAGAAAACGAATCGCGGAACAACTTGAGAGTCGCACCCTATCTCAAGAACGGCGAAGAAGGTTAGGTAGAGAAATAGAAACAATTGAACTCAAGCTACAAGAATCATACAAAACCCAGGAGAGGCAAAGAGAGCAAAAGGCCATCAGTGAAATAGAGAGAAATCCGAAATATTTTTTCTCCTATGCAAAATCAAGATCAAAAACCACATCTAGTATCGGGCCCCTGCGAAAGGGAGATGGAACTTTCACAGATGACAACAAAGAAATGAGCGAGTTACTGAGGAAGCAGTACGACTCTGTTTTCAGTGAGCCATTAAATGCACTAAAGATTGATAACCCAAATGAATTTTTCATGGATATGATACCAACATCAAATCACATATCAGACGTCGCCCTATCCCCACTAGATTTTGAAGAAGCCATAAACAGTATGCCTATGCACTCTGCACCAGGCCCGGATTCTTGGAACTCCTAATACAGTAATATCAGAAAGAATACCAGGAAGTAGCCTAAATGAGCAGGCACATGCAAATGACCTGCTACGGATGTGCGATAGGTTTGCCTTAAACCAGCAAATAGTAGAACCAACTAGGAAGGAGAACACGCTGGACCTCATTTTCACTAATAATGATGAGTTGATCGGGAACATAATGATTACAAATACCTGTTACTCAGATCACAACTTAATTGAAGTTCTGACAACCATGGGGAATGGACCTTCAAAACCAGTCCAGATTCCCGGTGGAGGAGATTTCAGCAAATTCAACTTCAATAATAAACGGATAAACTGGGAGCAAATAAACCAGGACTTCACAGAAATAAACTGGGAAGAACAGCTAGGAAATGCAAACCTGAACCAGTGCCTGGAAAAAATAAGCTCAGTAGCACTAGAAATATGTTCAAACCGCATACCCCTAAGAAAAAAGAGAAAGAGATGCAGATTGGAACGGGAACGTCGTTCGAAGTTGTTCCGCGAAGAAAACGAATCGCGGAACAACTTGAGAGTCGCACCCTATCTCAAGAACGGCGAAGAAGGTTAGGTAGAGAAATAGAAACAATTGAACTCAAGCTACAAGAATCATACAAAACCCAGGAGAGGCAAAGAGAGCAAAAGGCCATCAGTGAAATAGAGAGAAATCCGAAATATATTTTCTCCTATGCAAAATCAAGATCAAAAACCACATCTAGTATCGGGCCCCTGCGAAAGGGAGATGGAACTTTCACAGATGACAACAAAGAAATGAGCGAGTTACTGAGGAAGCAGTACGACTCTGTTTTCAGTGAGCCATTAAATGCACTAAAGATTGATAACCCAAATGAATTTTTCATGGATATGATACCAACATCAAATCATATATCAGACGTCGCCCTATCCCCACTAGATTTTGAAGAAGCCATAAACAGTATGCCTATGCACTCTGCACCAGGCCCGGATTCTTGGAACTCCATATTCATCAAGAACTGTAAAAAACCACTATCGCAGGCCCTTCACATTCTGTGGAGACAAAGCCTAGATACTGGCGTTATCCCTGACATACTAAAAACAGCAGAGATAGCACCACTCCATAAAGGAGGAAATAAGGCAGAGGCAAAAAATTACAGACCGATAGCACTAACATCGCACATCATAAAAATTTTTGAGAGAGTGCTAAGAAGTAAGATCACAAAATACATGGAATCACAGCATCTCCATAACCCCGGACAACATGGTTTCAGAACAGGGCGCTCTTGCCTGTCGCAGTTGCTGGACCACTATGATATGGCATTAGATGCTATGGAAGACAAACAAAACGCTGATGTAATTTACACAGATTTCGCAAAAGCTTTTGACAAATGTGACCATGGTGTTATTGCACATAAAATGCGTTCAAAAGGAATTACCGGAAAAATAGGCAGATGGATCTACAATTTCCTGACTAACAGAACCCAATGTGTAATAGTCAACAAAATAAAATCCAGCCCATCAACCGTGAAGAGCTCAGTCCCCCAGGGTACTGTGCTTGCTCCAGTACTTTTTCTCATCCTCATATCGGACATAGACAAGAACACAACCTATAGCACTGTATCATCCTTTGCAGATGACACTAGGATTTTCATGAGAGTTGGCAACATAGAGGACACGGCAAACCTCCAATCAGATGTAAATCAGGTCTTTCTATGGGCTACAGAAAATAATATGGTATTTAACGAAGATAAGTTCCAGCTCATGCGCTACGGAAAAAATGAAAATATAAAAACAGAAACCACGTACAAAACGCAGTCAAATCATAACATAGAACGAAAAGGCAATGTAAAGGATTTGGGTGTACTCATGTCGGAAGACCTTACCTTTAAAGAACACAATAAAGTAGCCGTCACAACTGCAAGAAAAATGACAGGTTGGATAACAAGAACTTTTCACACTAGAGATGCTATACCGATGATGATACTTTTCAAAACGCTTGTGCTCTCTAGAGTGGAGTACTGCTGCACAATGACAGCCCCTTTCAAAGCTGGAGAAATTGCTGACCTGGAGAGCGTGCAGAGATCCTTTACTGCTAGAATCCACTCAGTAAAACATCTAAACTATTGGGACCGACTAAAGAGCCTAAATCTGTACTCCCTTGAGCGCAGGCGGGAGAGATACATAATAATTTACACGTGGAAAATAATAGAGGGGCTGGTCCCAAACCTGCACACAGAAATAACACCACATGAGACCAGAAGACATAGCAGGATGTGCAGAATACCCCCGTTGAAAAGCAGAGGTGCAACAGGTACTCTGAGAGAGAACTCTATCAACATCAGAGGCCCGAGACTGTTCAACACGCTTCCACTACACATAAGGGGCATAACTGGCCGACCCCTCACAGTGTTCAAGAGAGAACTGGATAAGCACCTCCAAAGGATACCTGATCAACCAGGCTGTGACTCATACGTCAGGCTGCGAGCAGCCGCGTCCAACAGCCTGGTTGATCAGTCCAGCAACCAGGAGGCCTGGTCGACGACCGGGCCGCGGGGACACTAAGCCCCGGAAGCACCTCAAGGTACAAACACTGCCAAGGAATTTGAGGCCAGAGAAGCGCCTATCCCGGTTGACACTAGCTTGCGAACTGACGGCAGCCGGCGTGGTGAGGTCCGGTCCCCCCCTCCCTCTCCCGGGGAGGGGAGGGCTGAGCGGACACCGGCGAGGCAGTAAATTGATTGTTTGATTGTTTTCCTTGGGATTGTAGGGAGTTTTCTACCTCTCTGTTCGGTTTTTGTTGTAGTTTCTTACCATGTGGGGTTTGTTTTGTTATGCCTACCTTTCTGGGTGCCTAACCCCGGTCGATGGCAAATAAGGAAAACCCCCAACCATATGGGGTTTTCCAGGGCCATTGCTCCCTGAAACCTCTCTGAAGGGGCCAGGTTCTGGCGCTGGTCCCTGGTAGGTCTGAACTCCATAGCTAATGTCCCGGTCTAACATAACATACATTAGCCCGATAAGCTCCAGGGAGCTGTAGGAGCTCCCCACAGAAAAAGAGGCGATATAATCACTACATACAAAATAGTAACAGGAATTGATAAAATTGATAGGGAAGAATTCCTGACACCTGGAACTTCAAGAACAAGAGGTCATAGATTTAAATTGATAGGGAAGAATTCCTGCGACCCGGAACTTCAAGAACAAGAGGTCATAGATTTAAACTAACGAAACAAAGCTACCTGAGAAATATAAGAAAATTCACTTTTGTAAACAGTGGTAGGCGGTTGGAACAAGTTAGGTGAGAAGGTGGTTGTCAAAATCGTTAGTAATTTCAAAGCGTTATATGACAGAGTGCTGGGAAGACGGGACACCACGAGCATAGCTGTCATCCTGTAACTACACTTAGGTAATTACACACACACATACACATATACAGTATGTATGTATGTATGCATGTGTGTATATATATATATATATATATATATATATATATATATATATATATATACACACACACACACACACACACACACACACACACACACACACACACACACACACACACACACACACACACACACACACACACACACACACAAACATGCCAAAACTAGAAGACAGAAGAAAAAGAGGTGATATGATCACTACATACAAAATAGTAACAGGAATTGATAAAATCGACAGGGAAGATTTCCTGAGACCTGGCACTTCAAGAACAAGAGGTCATAGATTTAAACTAGCTAAACACAGATGCCGAAGAAATATAAGAAAATTCACCTTCGCAAATAGAGTGGTAGACGGTTGGAACAAGTTAAGTGAGAAGGTGGTGGAGGCCAAGACCGTCAGTAGTTTCAAAGCGTTATATGACAAAGAGTGCTGGGAAGACGGGACACCACGAGCGTAGCTCTCATCCTGTAACTACACTTAGGTAATTACACACACACACACACACACACACACCTACCTCTACATGCACGGTAAACATTAAAAACTAACCGTTTCATAGTCCTTTAGTGCCAGCTTGAACTTGCCTAATGACATGTAAGCTGAGGCTCTTCTGTAGTAACCTTTGATGTATGTCTTGTCTAATTCCAAGGCCTTCGAAGCATCTTGAAGGGCGTACCCAAAACATTCTGTTTTGAGGTAAGCAAAACTTCGATTCCCGTAATATATGGCAACAGTGTCGTTTAATTCTATCGCAGAGGTGTACAGCTCAATTGCCTTGTCATATTGCTGTTCTGTACAGGCAAGAAAACAAATCAGCTCCCACATGAGAAATACACAAGGAATTTTATCATACAGTAGATAAAAATATTCAAATACTAGCTGTACCCGGCCACTCGTTGCTGAGCAACCTTCCCCATCTCCCAGTCCTCACCACCATTCCCCCCCTTCCCCGTTCCCTAGTCCTCCAAACCATTCCCTACTCCCCCCGTCTCCTGGTCCTCCCCACCACTGCCCCCTCCCCCGTTCCTTTGTCCTCCCCCACCATCCCCCTTGTCCTCCCCACCATTCCCCACTCCACCGTCCCCTCGTCCTCCCAACCATCTCCCACTCCCCGTCCCCTTGTCCTCCCCACCATCACCCACTCCTCTGTCCCCTTGTCCTCCCCACCATCCCCCACTCACGTCCCCTCATCCTCCCCACCATTACCCCTTCCCCTGTACCCTTGTCCTCCCCACCATCCCCCACTCACGTCCCCTCATCCTCACCAACATTCCCCACTCCCTACTCCAATGCATTCTCAAATGATCTGATGTTTCCATCAGAAAATTGGGAACATCAAATGATCTGATGTTCCCATCACTGAAATATAAGAAAACGTTAAAAAACGAAATGAAAAAAATAAAGAATAAAAAATAATCTATGCGCATGAAATGAACTATATGGTAAACAACACAGCTCAATTCCAACACAATGTCACTCAAAATAATTAAATCAAAATGATAATAAATCGAAATCTATGAAAATTCAATTTATCAATGAAACCAGAAACATTGAAATAGAATCGTAACCTATTTAGAATAGCATGTGTTGCTTTTACATGCAACACGTAGCACTGTTTTTTATATAAAAAAAAATGTTTTTACCTGTCACAGGTGTGGCATCTATATTTATACTCACGAAACGAACGGTATGGTAAACAACACAACTCGGTTCCAACGCAATGTCACTCAAAATAATTCAGTCAAAATGAAAATAAATCGAAATCTAAGAAAATTCAATTTATCAATGTAATCAGAAACACTGAAATGGATTCGTAGTATAGTTAGCATAGTGTATGTTGCTATTACCTGCAACAGATGGCGCTGTTTTTTAAAAAAAAAGCATGTTTTTACCTGTCACAGGTGTGGCATCCATATAGTAGTTATATAAAAACACGATTTCTCAAATGGAACGTTGTGTCAAAATTTCAAAGCAATCAGTGCAGAACTTTCGGAGATTACAGCGTGTGTTCCTCTTACGTCCAACAGATGGCGCTGTTTTTCAAAAGATGCATGTTTTCTCCTGTCACAGGTGAGTCATGTATATAATAGGTATATAAAACACGCGCCTATTCGAATGCAGCGTTGTGTCAAAATTTCAAAGCAATCGTAAAGAAGTTTCGAAGATTTCCCCTCACATGAAAAACACATGAAAAACCCAGTTTTTCAAAAAACTAATTTTTCCTGTCACAGACATGACATCTATATAGTATGCATATAAAAACCCGCTCGGATGCGAATGGAACGTTGTGTGAAAATTTCAAAGAAATCGGTGAAGAACTTTTGGAGATTAGCGATTTTGAACAAACGAACATTTACATTTTTATTTATATGGATAGCATAATTACAATACAGTAGTACATATATATAGTATAAAAGATAAATATAACTGATGCTACCATTGGCATCCAAGCAACACAACCTAAACTAGAAGATATTCACTATACTGTACTATGTATGTCAATCAAAATAATGTTAGTGAAATAAAAAATAAAGAGCTTTAGTTGTGAAATTTTTGCTGAATAACTTCAATGATAAATTATTGTATACAGACTTAGTAGGCTACCACATTGTTTGGTGTACAGGCTGCTCGTGGTACACAACCACATTGTTTGGTGTACAGGCTGCTCTTGGTACACAACCACATTGTTTGGTGTACAGGCTGCTCTTGGTACACAACCACATTGTTTGGTGTACAGGCTGCTCGTGGTACACAACCACATTGTTTGGTGTACAGGCTGCTCTTGGTACACAACCACATTGTTTGGTGTACAGGCTGCTCTTGGTACACAACCACATTGTTTGGTGTACAGGCTGCTCTTGGTACACAACCACATTGTTTGGTAAGGTAAAGTAATTAGGAGAAAACACTGAGCCATTACAACTATACAGCACATGGAAAGGGATACGAGGATAAGAACTTAGGATTGGACGACGGGAAGGAATAGTGCCCAACCTGTTGGTTGGTTGGGAATTGAGCACCGACCTGCAATGAGCAAAATCATTGCTCTGCTATCCAATCCAAGTAGTTGGGCATCATTGTTTGGTGTGCAGGCTGCTTTTAGTCTGCAGGCTCCCACAAAAGTAGAGGTGCAACAGGTACTCTAAGAGAGAACTCTATCAACAACAGAGGCCCGAGACTGTTCAACACGCTTCCACTACACAAGGGGCATAACTGGCCAACCCCTCACAGCTTTCACGAGAAAAATTGATAAACACCTCCAAAGGATACCTGATCAACCTGGCTGTGACTCATACATTAGGCTGCGAGCAGCTGCATCCAACAGCCTGGCTGACCAGTCCAGCAATGAGGAGGCCTGGTCGAGGACTGGGCCGCGAGGACACTAAGCCCCGAAACCATCTCAAAGTAACCAGTGTAAACCCAAACCTCAATATAAGCAAGTACCACCACATGATGCTCACATGCCATCTCTCTACTTCAGTGTGGGCACAGTGCCTCGGGCACCTATCCCCAACACACGAGGCACGACCACACCACGTGAACGTCGCCACCGGGCTCGTGTGGTGTTATTCATAATTGCTCAGCAATGTTCATGTGGTTATCGTGAAATATAATTATTTGCAAGTAAACCAGATTTTTACAAGCCAGAGTAATCTGGCATGACTGATATACACTACCATGCCACAGGGCCACACCAGAGGACCATACTAGAGCCACACCAGAGGGTCACACTAGAGCCACACCAGAGGACCATACTAGAGCCACACCAGAGGGTCACACTAGAGCCACACCAGAGGACCATACTAGAGCCACACCAGAGGGTCACACTAGAGCCACACCAGAGGGTCACACTAGAGCCACACCAGAGGACCATACTAGAGCCACACCAGAGGGTCACGCTAGAGCCACACCAGAGGACCATACTAGAGCCAAACCAGAGGACCATACTAGAGCCACACCAGAGGGTCATGCTAGAGCCACACCAGAGGGTCACACTAGAGCCACACCAGAGGGTCACACTAGAGCCACACCAGAGGGTCACACTAGAGCCACACCAGAGGGTCACACTAGAGCCACACCAGAGGGTCACACTAGAGCCACACCAGAGGGTCACACTAGAGCCACACCAGAGGGTCACACTAGAGCCACACCAGAGGGTCACACTAGAGCCACACCAGAGGGTCACACTAGAGCCACACCAGAGGGTCACACTAGAGCCACACCAGAGGGTCACACTAGAGCCACACCAGAGGGTCACACTAGAGCCACACCAGAGGGTCACACTAGAGCCACACCAGAGGGTCACACTAGAGCCACACCAGAGGGTCACACTAGAGCCACACCAGAGGGTCACACTAGAGCCACACCAGAGGGTCACACTAGAGCCACACCAGAGGACCATACTAGAGCCACACCAGAGGGTCACACTAGAGCCACACCAGAGGACCATACTAGAGCCACACCAGAGGTCACATACTAGAGCCACACCAGAGGGTCACACCAGAGCCACACCAGAGGGTCACACTAGAGCCACACCAGAGGGTCACACTAGAGCCACACCAGAGGGTCACTAGAGGGTCACACTAGAGCCACACCAGAGGGTCACACTAGAGCCACACCAGAGGGTCACACTAGAGCCACACCAGAGGGTCACACTAGAGCCACACCAGAGGGTCACACTAGAGCCACACCAGAGGGTCACACTAGAGCCACACCAGAGGGTCACACTAGAGCCACACCAGAGGGTCACACTAGAGCCACACCAGAGGGTCACACTAGAGCCACACCAGAGGGTCACACTAGAGCCACACCAGAGGGTCACACTAGAGCCACACCAGAGGGTCACACTAGAGCCACACCAGAGGGTCACACTAGAGCCACACCAGAGGGTCACACTAGAGCCACACCAGAGGGTCACACTAGAGCCACACCAGAGGGTCACACTAGAGCCACACCAGAGGGTCACACTAGAGCCACACCAGAGGGTCACACTAGAGCCACACCAGAGGGTCACACTAGAGCCACACCAGAGGGTCACACTAGAGCCACACCAGAGGGTCACACTAGAGCCACACCAGAGGGTCACACTAGAGCCACACCAGAGGGTCACACTAGAGCCACACCAGAGGGTCACACTAGAGCCACACCAGAGGGTCACACTAGAGCACACTAGAGCCACACCAGAGGGTCACACTAGAGCCACACCAGAGGGTCACACTAGAGCCACACCAGAGGGTCACACTAGAGCCACACCAGAGGGTCACACTAGAGCCACACCAGAGGGTCACACTAGAGCCACACCAGAGGGTCACACTAGAGCCACACCAGAGGGTCACACCAGAGGGTCACACCAGAGCCACAGCAGAGGGTCACACCAGAGCCACAGCAGAGGGTCACACTAGAGCCACACCAGAGGGTCACACTAGAGCCACACCAGAGGGTCACACTAGAGCCACACCAGAGGGTCACACTACTAGAGCCACACCAGAGGGTCACACTAGAGCCACACCAGAGGGTCACACTAGAGCCACACCAGAGGGTCACACTAGAGCCACACCAGAGGGTCACACTAGAGCCACACCAGAGGGTCACACTAGAGCCACACCAGAGGGTCACACTAGAGCCACACCAGAGGGTCACACTAGAGCCACACCAGAGGGTCACACTAGAGCCACACCAGAGGGTCACACTAGAGCCACACCAGAGGGTCACACTAGAGCCACACCAGAGGGTCACACTAGAGCCACACCAGAGGGTCACACTAGAGCCACACCAGAGGGTCACACTAGAGCCACACCAGAGGGTCACACTAGAGCCACACCAGAGGGTCACACTAGAGCCACACCAGAGGGTCACACTAGAGCCACACCAGAGGACCATACTAGTCACACTAGAGCCACACCAGAGGGTCACACTAGAGCCACACCAGAGGGTCACACTAGAGCCACACCAGAGGGTCACACTAGAGCCACACCAGAGGACCATACTAGAGCCACACCAGAGGACCACACTAGAGCCACACCAGAGGACCATACTAGAGCCACACCAGAGGGTCACACTAGAGCCACACCAGAGGGTCACACTAGAGCCACACCAGAGGGTCACACTAGAGCCAAACCAGAGGACCATACTAGAGCCACACCAGAGGGTCATAGAGCTAGAGCCACACCAGAGGGTCACACTAGAGCCACACCAGAGGGTCACACTAGAGCCACACCAGAGGGTCACACTAGAGCCACACCAGAGGGTCACACTAGAGCCACACCAGAGGGTCACACTAGAGCCACACCAGAGGGTCACACTAGAGCCACACCAGAGGGTCACACTAGAGCCACACCAGAGGGTCACACTAGAGCCACACCAGAGGGTCACACTAGAGCCACACCAGAGGGTCACACTAGAGCCACACCAGAGGGTCACACTAGAGCCACACCAGAGGGTCACACTAGAGCCACACCAGAGGGTCACACTAGAGCCACACCAGAGGGTCACACTAGAGCCACACCAGAGGGTCACACTAGAGCCACACCAGAGGGTCACACTAGAGCCACACCAGAGGGTCACACTAGAGCAGGGGTCTCCAAACTTGTCAACGTAAGCGCCACATTATATATTTCGCATATTTATGCGGGCCGGAGGAATAAAAAATGAAATTGCTATTTTGTATAACTAAGATAAAGGCATTGTCAAAGTACAGAGAAAAGAATATTGTACAGTGTTTGTGCTCCCTGAAACGGAAGCAGCGAAGCCCCACTCGCCCTCCATCCCCACAATACACAGTTATACACAACTGATTGGTTGTAATGCACAACACATACCTACCAGTATTAGTATCTGTGCGTCACACTATCAAGAGAGAGGAAAACTGACTCGGGTTGAGCGCCACCAGTCAGCAGCCATAGCTTTGAATAATTCTGCGATGCCATTCGTACGATAATTATTTTTTCAAGGCCACCACACAGGGATTTGTTTGGAGGGCCGGATGAAATTATGTGGCGGGCCGGATGTGGCCCGCGGGCCATAGTTTGGAGACCCCTGCACTAGAGCCACACCAGAGGACCATACTAGAGCCATACCAGTCACACTAGAGCCACACCAGAACAACGGACCACACCATTGGAACACCAAAGGACCACACTATAGCCCATCACCAATGCACCACTGAAGAGGGTCACACAGCAGAGGGCCACACAGCAGTGGGCCACACCGAAGAGGGCCACACCGCAGAGGGCCCCACCGCAGAGGCCCACACCGAAGAGGGCCACACAGCAGAGGGCCACACCACAGAGGCCTACACCACAGAGGCCTACACCGAAGAGGGCCACACCAAAGAGGCCCACACCGAAGAGGGCCACACCGCTGAGGGCCACACAGCAGAGGGCCCCACCACACAGGGCCACACTGAGGAGGGCCACACAGCAGAGGGCCACACCGAGGAGGGCCCCACCACAGAGGGCCGCACCGAGGAAGGCCCCACCGCAGAGGGCCACACTGCAGAGGGCCACACCACAGAGGACCACACCGCAGAGGGCCACACCGCAGAGGACCACACCGCAGAGGGCCACACAGCAGAGGGCCACACTGCAGAGGGCCACACAGCAGAGGGCCCCACCGCAGAGGACCACACCGCAGAGGGCCACACCGCAGAGGGCCACACCGCAGAGGACCACACCGCAGAGGGCCACACAGCAGAGGGCCACACCACAGAGGACCACTCCGCAGAGGGCCACACAGCAGAGGGCCACACCACAGAGGACCACACCGCAGAGGGCCACACCGCAGAGGGCCACACCGCAGAGGGCCACACCGCAGAGGGCCCCACCGCAGAGGACCACACCGCAGAGGGCCACACAGCAGAGGGCCCCACCGCAGAGGACCACACCGCAGAGGGCCACACCGCAGAGGGCCACACCGCAGAGGACCACACCGCAGAGGGCCACACAGCAGAGGGGCCCCACATAACCCTGGCCGGCGTGCCTGAGCCCTCAGCAGTGACCATGCCGGGGGCCCCCAAGCCTGGCGTCCACCACTATACTCACGCTTGAAGTGGTGGTTGGCCTGGTTCTTGAACTCCTCGGCGCGATCCTCACACGTCTCGGACATTGTTGCTCTTCCCTGTACAGTGGAGAGGCCGGGGAGAGTGTGTGTGAGAGTGAGAGTGAGAGTCGAGCCTGGCCTCTCCCTCCCAATGTTTACAGTCCGGGGCTCCCTCCGGCGACACACACCGCTCAGATATCTCCCTCTCAACCACCTCCAGCCACCCTAATTAATTCCTTTGGTGTAATCGTAACTTGTTGGTGATTATTGCTTTCATTTGCGGGTAAGATTATTGTCGTCTTGGGGAAGATTTTTTTAAATATTTGGGTCAAGTGTTGAGGCTCGGGCTCCAGGCGGGAGGGTGACGGGCCTACTCTAACTTGCACCAGCTCTCAATAATATTATCACTAATCTCTAACTCATTCTCAACTTGCTAATTACGACGCGTATAATTTGCTTATGCTAACTGTAGTGCGTAGCGTATTTTGTATGCAGATAAAAATCATGTATTGACGGGAAGATAGATCGAGCAGCTCAAGCTATTTCTTCCTTAATAATAATATAACAACAACAACAACAACAACAATAATAATAATAATAATAATAATAATAATAATAATAATAATAATAATAATAATAATAATAATAATAATAATAATAATATAATAATTTTATTCGCAAGAAAATACAATGGGTTAGTGAGATTTTTTTCTGAGGCATACGGGACGCAGACAATTGTTCATTACTCTATTATGCACCCCATACCCATCCCGTGGGCGGTGGTGTAAAGGATTACAGAGGCACATAATCGGTTCAGGAACTGAACCCTCTAGTTCGTTTAGCTAAGCAAATAACAATTTTTGACGCTAGTTACAAAATTATTAATGTTATATATACATGTACACACTCTCATACATACATGTACATATATATATATACGTATACATATATACATACACATACATATCTAATCACCCACACAAATACACACATCAATAATCTATTGTATCACAAGTGATTCAACAAGAGGTTCACAACAGTCACTATACAAGGCACTTTACATCTATGGTGAGTCACACAGTTACTAGTCTTGCTCCACACCCACCCAACTGGGCGGCAGCTTTACAGTCATGTGCTCCACACCCACCCAACTGGGCGGCAGCTTTACAGTCATGTGCTCCACACCCACCCAACTGGGCGGCAGCTTTACAGTCATGTGCTCCACACCCACCCAACTGGGCGGCAGCTTTACAGTGCTCTACACCCACCCAACTGGGCGGCAGCTTTACAGTCATGTGCTCACACCCACCCAACTGGGCGGCAGCTTTACAGTCATGTGCTCCACACCCACCCAACTGGGCGGCAGCTTTACAGTCATGTGCTCCACACCCACCCAACTGGGCGGCAGCTTTACAGTCATGTGCTCCACACCCACCCAACTGGGCGGCAGCTTTACAGTCATGTGCTCCACACCCACCCAACTGGGCGGCAGCTTTACAGTCATGTGCATGCATTACCTACAGTAAGCAAATTTTGGATACTTCGCTAAGATCTCAGGCAGCACATCAGTATGAATGAAGTACTTACACATTTCTTGGACACTATTGATGGTGTTATCTCTAAATTCCGCGATTTTTTCACATTCCATTATATAATGACGCAAAGTATGTGAGTAGTTCTGCTGGCAGAGTTTACATTTAGTCAAATCTACATCAGCAGATGTTACAAACTCCCAGAGGTACTTGTAGCCGAGCCTAAGCCTAAGCCCACTGGACTATATCCAATCCTATCTTAGTGATTGACACCAATGTGTAGCCACCAATAATATAACCTCTCCCACTCTACCAATAACCGTTGGAGTGCCACAGGGCAGCATTTTGGGACCTCTCTTATTTCTTATTTACATCAATGATCTGCCTAATGTCTCTAACATTCTGAAACCTATTTTGTTTGCTGATGATACTACCCTCATCTACTCCAACCCCAACCCACATCCACTAAATAATGTTGTTAATAATGAACTAAAAAAAAGTCCACTTATGGATGTCAACCAACAAACTAACACTTAACATAGAAAAGACCTACTACATCTTATTTGGAAGCAAATCTACAAATACAATTCAGCTTCAGGTAGACAATGTAAACATTAGCAATAAAAATGATGGAAAGTTTCTTGGCCTATTCCTAGACAAAAGACTCAACTTCAGCACCCACATACAACACATAACTAAGAAAGTCTCTAAAACAGTTGGTATACTCTCCAAAATCAGATATTATGTACCTAACTCTGCTCTCATCTCTCTATATTATGCACTAATCTATCCCTATCTTAATTATGGTATCTGTGCATGGGGTTCAACCACTGCAAACCACCTCAAGTCCATCATTACCCAGCAAAAATCTGCTATCAGAATAATAACAAATTCTGCTTTCAGACAACACACAGCCCCCTTGTTTAACTCCCTAAACATGCTAAACATAATCTCACTCCACAAATTCTCTTGTGTCAACTACATTTACAAAACCCTGTTCTTAAATGCAAATCCTGCTCTGAAACTCTCCCTGGACAGATGTCATAGGACCCATTATCACCACACCAGAAATAAATATCTCTTTGATATCCCCAGAGTTAAACTTAATCTGTGTAAACACTCTATGCAAATAAAGGGACCCAGTTTATGGAACTCACTCCCTACTGAATTGAAAAGCTGTCCAACTTTTACATCATTCAAAACAATACTAAAAAGTACCTAATTTCATCTTCATAGTTTTTACCTTTTGCTTTAAAACTGCACTGTATCTATTGCTCCTCAATCTCCCAATCTTTATGTACCCAATCTGAACATCTTTACCATTGTGATCATTGCTGTCTTCTTATATGTGCTGTCAATCTGCTGTATGGTGTCTATTAATCTTGTTTAAATTACCAATCAAGCTGTCAATGTAATCAATCAGAGCTTTAATATACCAATGTGCTTTAATATACTTACTAATCTCTCTCATCTCATTTTTTTTCTTGCAATGTATCTGTTATCATTTTATTAATTCTGATAGAATTTACCTACTTAAAATTATCTGTTAGATTAAGGACCTGCCCGAAACCCTACCCGTACTAGTGGCTTTACAAGAGTGCAATTACTGTACTATGCTATGTATTCTCACAAACCCAATGTACCTTCTTGTATATAAATAAATAAATAAATAAATAAATAAATTTGGCTTAAGGCATTGTACTTTGCTTCTTGTCGAAGCAAGGACTGTTCTTTAATCAGTTTCTTGGGTGGGAAAGGGGGGACAGTAATTTGGAAAGGAGTGATCTCCCATGGGGCAGGAAAGTGTTGTTGTTGTCTCTCTTGGTAGAGGTGATGAAAGTTATACATTCTGAGCACATTGGCAGTTACCGTAACCCATTTGGAGGGATGCTGACCTTCAAGGAAGAAGGTTTGGAGGGCTTCAGTGCAGGGGTTAGGGTGGGTTAGCCTAAGCATCTTGATACCAATTAAAGCATTAATTTCAGTGATACGATCACTTACACATGAAATATTCAGTTCCTTCCTCATGTTTAGTAATTTAGTTGTACTGGGACATCCGAGGATAATCCTCATGGCTTCGTTTTGCATCTTTTCCAGCCCTCCAAGCATTCTCTCAGGCACTAGAGCAAGCATGGGTGCAGTATAATCAATCAGAGACCTAATATATGAGAGATACATCATTTTGACAATTCTCACATTTACACCATAGCTTGGATGGTAGCCTGCCACAGCCTTGAGAGCACGGAGCCTCTCTCTCTACATTGGCGACCCAGTCTGGCTACAACATTGCGGTACAGTAAGGAACCTCAAGACCAAGGTATTTGTATCTGGTTACATAGTCGAGCAGAGAGCCATCATGCAACTGCATTTTGCGAACGGCCCCACCCCGTCTGGGTGGGTGTCGGTTCAGGATCTTTGTTTTCTCTACTGAGATGACCAAGCCTAGTTCCTGACATGTGTGCAATACAGAGTTCAGAACATTTTGGGTGTTGGTATACCCATTGGTGTGGATCAGTATATCATCCACATAGCTAATGATGTGTTCGCTCGGGCTCCTAGTTACTGAGCTTAAAAGTACATTGGTTAACACATTGAACAGAGAAGGACTGAGGACACCGCCCTGTGGAGTGCCAAGTTCAAAATCTCTCGTTACACTCCTATGCCCTTGGAATAGTACAGATGACTTCCTGTTGGATAGATAGCCTCTTATCCACCGTAGAAGCCATCCTCCAACATTCATTTTAGCAAGTTCACTCAGAATGACGTGTGGGTTAGCAATGTCAAAGGCTGACTTAAGATCTAGGAAAGTGGTGTATGACCTATCAGTATGCAGGGTGAGGAATGTGGTAATACAGTGATGTACACTCTTTCCATGAATATATATATCTGGGGAGACAACATGTTACTAATTCTGTAAAGGAGATGGTTGAGAACCATCCTCTCAAGACACTTACAGAGACAACTAGTGAGGGAGATTGGGCGAAAAGCACTCTGCTGGTTTGGTTTAGGAATGGGAATAATAAGACTGTTGGTCCATGACTTTGGAAGCTCCCCAGTTACATAGCTCATATTATACAATTCAAGCAAGGGATTCCCTGGAACTAGCAGAAGCATACACAGTATGCCGTAAGTAACTCCATCCTCCCCGGGTGATGTAGCTTCGCCTTTATGTAGAGCAGAGTCTAGTTCGTATTCAGTAAAAAGTATGTCACAGTCATCCTCTTGATGAAGCATGAAGTCAAGGATCCTTGCTCTATCAACATATCTATTATTTAATTCATTCTGTGAGGGTAGAGGAAGACTGTCAAAGCTGGAAAATGTTCAGGAACTGAACCTTCTAGTTCGTTTAGCTAAGCAAATAACAATGTTTGACGCTAGTTATAAAATTATTAATGTTATATATACATGTACACATACTCATGAATACATGTACATATACATACGTATACATATATACATACATATGTTGTTAAATATGACCGAAAAAGTGAGAGCAATAATTCTAACACGAATTTTCTCAATATTTCTTATGTTTCTTTTTACTGTCGATGGTAATTGAAAAATCAATTCTCCAAAATTCATTTTTATTTCTAGTCTGATGCGACGCTTGAACACGTTTCGTAATAACTTATTACATTTTCAAAGACTTTACTCACACAACTGTAATCTGAAAACCCTAAAAAGAGTTTCACTTATTCTAACACTTAAACAGTTGTTTCTTGTTGTTATAGATTCAGCTACTCGGAACAAGTTCCAGTAGCACGGGCTATGGTGAGCCCGTAACTTACCTGGCACAGGAGCGGGGCAAGTAGCACGGGTTGAATTGGGTATTAGGTATAGCTATGGTG